AATTCAAACTAAAATTGTTTAAAATTGGGAAACCACCCCCCTAAATACTACCGATTACTCAAATCATGATCAAAATGTGAATCACTGCCTAAATTGAACCCCCACATCCTTGTTACTGCATCATTGCACCCAAATAACTCGGATTGCCACAGAATGACATCACTGCCACGTCAGACTCCCCAGACTTTGGGAATGAAATCACTGTCTTTCTCGCTGTTAGATAGGTGGAATCAAATCAAGTCAAATCGTTTCCAAAATATCACACAAGCACATAATTTGCATTCAAGCCTATTTGGGGGGTAGGGTTGCCCTGTCCTAATTTAGAACTCAGACCTAGGATTCACTAAATCATTCAAAGAGGCAATAATACAATCCTGGAAACGAGGGTATCTTGCCCCAGTTTGGAAGCTGCTAATGCTCTCTCCATGCAGAAGGAGAGGTAAGTTTGGTCAAGAAAGGGCACAACAGTCGTTACAATCAATATACCACTCCTTCCACAAGGGAATGATCAAACAGTACTAGTAGCATAGCCTCCAGCTTGCCTTATTGACATAACATAACCCACGAATAGTGTCCGGGATACTATGCAACAACCCCGAGAATAGGTGAATGCAACCAGCCAATTTCGTTTAACAATTACCATTGGATCCCGAAGTCATCGTAATCACCGAGTGGGCGATACTTGCCCGAGCAACGGAATTCTGACGAATTTAAAAGATTCCTATCAGAGTGATCAATCTAAACACTTGTCTTTCCATTACATATTGTTTCCCGAAATGTGCCCCAATTTATTTTCAAAAGTGCGTCATCAAATTTCAACTTCTATTTTTTTAAACATATTTTTTCAAAATAAAGTGTCGTTTTTATTTTTTCTTTAAAATTTCAATGTTTTCCTTTCCACTTTTTTTTTCGAAAGTTTAAAAGAGTTCGGATTTTATTCCAAGGAATCAACCAAACGATCGTCCTTTAGCCAAATATCTTGTACAGGAACCAAAATTTTATTTGAAATGAGAGACTCGGTCATTACTTCCTTGTCTAACATTTCTCCACAAAATTAAGTTTCCCTCAAAGTCAGCGGCCCAAAGGTTTTTACTGGATGAAAAGAACTTTACATAATTTCATAACTCTGTTCAAATTTTATTTTCAAAAAAATTCCTAAGAATTTTAGATCTTATTCCAAGAAATCAATCAAACAGTCACCTTATAGTCAAGTGTCTTCTAAGGAAATTCAAAATTTCACTTCAAAGTGAAAGACTCGGTCATCACCTCCTCATCAACACTTTTCCATAAAATCAAATTCCCTCTAAAGTCAAAAACCTAAGGATTTCTGTCTGATCAAAAACTTTCCATAATTTCTAAAATTCTACTCGGGTTTTCTTTCACAATTCTTTCCTCCCAAGGAGCTCTCAATCTTATTCCAAGTACCCAATCAAACAATTGCCTCCTTAATCAACTGTCTTTCTGGAGCATTTCGAATTTTATTCAAAACTGAACACAACACGCGGGGGACACACATGAAATATATAATTTTATATATTTATTATATGTTATATATATGAATATATCATTCTGTAGAAATTTAATGTATAAAGAGAAATGATTGTATTATTTATTGATATATGTTTATTACAAATGGTGAGGGGCTCCTTATATAGGAGATGTAGTGGAGTAGGTGGTAGTAGGTGGTAGTGGTAGGTGTGTAGTAGGTGGTGGTAGGTGTAGTAGGTGGAGTAGGTGATGGTAGGTTTTAACAGTATCCATGGGCTCATATACCTCTCTAATGATAGCCTTGTCAGAATTTGAAAATTTGAGCATCTTATATATGTGTTTTGTATGGTGAGAACTCTTTTTGATTTTCTCCAAAAATCATTATCCAAAATAAAAGTACTTATTGCAGCTTTTTCTTTCGAAGAAACATCATGTCCATTAATAAAAATGGCGTTACCACCAGAAGCAACCATGATGTTAATCAAAGTTTGATTTTTTAAATTTGACCAACCATCAGAAACAATGGAAGCTCCATGTGTGCTCCAATCTAATGCTCCAAAAGGGTTATATTCTGGTCAGGTTGCTTAGCCCACACTTTGAATCTGTTGATGAAAGACAAAGCATAGTGTGAGGATCCAGCTTTGTCATTTGTTAATGAATTATATAAGAGGGGTAAAACAATGGTGCAATACATAACATAAAATAAAAAAATCATAAGTCTTGTCAATTCTTGTTCAAGACATTCTATGCTTTGGATCTTCTCAAAGCAAAGAAAACTAGGTTTGGGCATCATTTCATCGTTTTACGACGTCTTGTTAAAGTAAGACCTGCTTTGTTGTCCATGGCTTTTGAGAAAAATTACAACATCTCCAAATCAACATGACATTGTCCACCAAACTGTTTTGGACTATGATTTTTGGAGAAAATAAAGGGAAAAAAGAAATTCTTCACAATCACAAAACACATATACAAGATGCTTGGATTTTCAGATTTTGATAAGGCTGTCATTAGAGAGGTATATAAGTTAATGAATACCAATGCCATGTTGGGGAACATCAAAGATTCTCTTTCAAATGATCATGTAGCTTATGATTTGATTAATAAATGTGGTGGAAAGATGGGATAAGATGAACATTCCTTTGCATTGTTTGCATATATTCTTGTCCCCAAATATTACACATTTTGTTGGTTGTCAAAGTCTAGCCCAGGTGGTGTGAGAAGGAGAAAACTGCTTTGACGTTGATGTCCAAAAGTGGTATCTTGAGGCTACTGATAAAATGATTTGTGACCCAAGTGAAATTGTTGTTATAAGACAACAAATTAATGCTTTTATTAGTAGCAAGGGTGTTTTTGCACAACCTCAAGCAGTAAATGATAGAGCAACCATGAATGCACTATCATGATGACATCTATATGGTGGGGCAACACTTGAATTATACTCTTAGTATTGGAAGTGTTATCTCAAAGTGTGAATACATCTTGTGCAGCAAGGTGTTGGAGTACCTATTCCTACATTCATAATGTGAAAATGAATAGGTTAAACGTTGATCAAGCTAAGAAGTTAGTTTTTGTGCGCTACAATCATAGACTCTTGTCAAGGTACATGAAGGACTATGAAGATTTTAAAAATTTGGGATGTGTATCCGGAAAATGCCAAACATTGAAGAAGATATTATGGCAATTGAAGAAAGATAATGTGTCACTTTTAGATAGTGACGATGACATCAATGTTGCAAATATGGATGTTCAACCATGTCCAACTTCAGTGCTTACATCTTCATCTCCAACTTCTCAAGAGTCTTCAATGGAGCAAGTAGCAGCACAAAAGAGGCTTGAAAAAGCACATGGCAAAAGGCAAAAAAAATGAAAAATATTTTGTTGTATTGGAATTGTAATCTTTTGTTTTTCACCTTAAATTTTGGCTCTTTTTTTTTTTTTTTTGGTTTTTGTTTTTGTGTGTGTGTTTGTGTGTAGAATGGGAATTAAAAGTGAAAATTCCTGTGATTGTGAAGTTTTTTTTGTATTAGATGACTAAGAATTAATGATATTTTGTAATAGTTCAACTTTAATATATTTGAATAAAGTCACAATATATATATATGTATTTTTAAAATTGTTAGAATTTACCTACACCTACCACCACCTACTACCACACCTACTACACCTACCACCAATTTACCCTCACCTACTCCTCACCTACTACCCAAACCCTCTCCTATATAATGAGCCACTCTGATTTGTAATAGAATATATCAAGAAATATATCAATCAATAATACTTGAATTTTAACAAAAATTATTTTAGTTATATATATACATAATATATGTAAATGCTCCTCTGTGCTCCCAACTTAAGAAACGCTCGAATTTTCTACACATACCTTGAAATTTCCTTTCTACATCTCCACTTTCAGTCGCCGGAGACCACCGCCGATCTCCCAGTCTCAATCATGGTCCCTAACCAGCTCCTCCCCAACATCTCCACTTTCATAACCAATCCTTAGCCGACGACTGGGTAGAGAGCTCTCTTTATCTGCTACCTCCTCGTCGGCAACGATCTCTTCTCTGCTTTGTTTGTCTATGGCAACTCTTGAGGATATTGGGGTCTCTGCATTCATCAACATACTCGGTACTTTTGCCTTCTTGTTGGCCTTTGCTCTTCTTCGGATTCAACCCATCAATGACAGAGTTTACTTTCCCAAGTTGTACATTAGTGGGGGCAGAACCAGTCCCAAGCACCGGAACTTTGTGGGAAAGTTTGTTAATCTCAATTGCTGGACTTACATTACCTTCCTCCACTGGATGCCTCAAGCTCTTAAGATGAGTGAGTCCGAAATCATCAACCATGCTGGTCTTGATTCTGCTGTTTTTCAAGGTGGTGCGCATGTGCGCATGGGGGAGGGACGGACTCACAAACAGACCCACTATCCCTCTCTCTCTCTCTTTTTGTCCCCCACCATCATTGTTTCCATCACCTCAATCAGTTTGCACCGCCATTTTTTGCTCCACCGACCGCATCGGAAAGTTCAACAGAGCAAACACAGAGGTGTTTGGTTGAGGTTCACTGGCCACCGCACCAGTTCTCTCTCTTGTTGACTCATTGAGGTCGGGCAAAAGAGTGAGTAGACCACGGGATGAAGAGGCCATATTCTGGGTAGCTGAACGGGAAGAAGAGGCCCTGTTTTTTGGGTTGCTGAGTGTTTCCGAGAAGGGTTGGATACAGAGTATTTACAGATTGTTTCAGAATAACAAGTTCAGAGGTTTCAGTCTGGTTTGGTTTCCTCCGCCTCCGCATTGGTTTATATTGACACTGACGACGCGGCCGACACGCCGCTCTGTCGCTCACGTGCCTCGCCGCGTCTCCGGCTCACCTTTTGATGGCTCGACGCTTTCTGTCGGGCACGACTTTTGATGAAGTGGGCGCGCCTTTTGAGGGCGCAACTTTTGATGGCACGCCTTTTTATGGATTGGGCACGCCTTTTGATGGCACGCCTTTTGAAAGATTGGGCACAATTATCTTGGACCTGGCAGTGTATTGGTATGTTCTAATGTTCTTTGGAACTCTTCATTGTATCTGCAATTTTAGTTGAGGATATATATATTCAATCATTATAAATTGTTGTTTTGGAGTTTGAGGGAATAATTAGGTCTTACAACTTGAAACTTTGAAAGAACATGCATGGCGGTGACTCTTTCAATTTTTTAATTTATTTATTGTGAGGTCTATAGGCATTATGAAGGGGCCACTAACCACTTGTGCAAAAAATGCCATGGCCGTGACCCTTCCCTCTCCTTTTAAAAATAAAATAAAATAAATCAAGCAGCATGCTTAATAACTTCTCTGGGGTAACCTTATCTGTGACATTGACTAGGCCAATGATTGTTTGCATATTTTTTAGATAACTAACTAGGAACTTATCAAGATTTGTAGAAAAATGAGTGTGTTAAAATTTATTAATAAACCTACCACCACTACCACCTCACCTACTCCACTAAACCTAACCCACTACACCACTACCACCTCACCTACTCCACTAAACCTAACCCACTACACCTACACCTACATCTATATAAGGAACCACCACTACCACCTCACCTACTCCACTAAACCTAACCCACTACACCACTACCACCTCACCTACTCCACTAAACCTAACCCACTACACTTACACCTACATCTATATAAGGAACCATTTGTAATAGACAGAATCAAATCAATCAATCAATAATACAATTCTCTATTTCTCTTTACATTATATTTCTACAGAGTGACAGCTAGATGTAACTTTAGGCACCTTGGATGAAGCATTAGAAAGTTAACAGAAAGATAATACAGTCTCTTCTTAATCAGCTTCATGCTGAACTCACTTTTGAACGAATCATTTATTTCGTCTATAAACGTCTGCTATAAATTTTTAATATTAGAAATCTGTCATGTTTTGCACACACACACACACACACACACACATATATATATGTCTCTTGTAATGCAAAGTATGCCTTTTGCTTCTCCAATTATTTCAATAATTATTTTCATGGATTGATAGTTTTCATCAAAGTTGGCATTACCACCCCGTTCTTACTGGGGACAATTAAGCTGTTTGTTGATGCCATCAAATTAGAAACTGTCATCTAGTCATCTTGAGTGCTTTGCTCTTTTCAATTCTTTAGCAATTTTATCTGCAAATATATTGCATCCAGATGCTGTATTAGTAATAGCTATTTGACAATATCTAAGTGTCACTCCCAAGGCCACCAGTAGATTGACATTATTCATTCACTGTATTTCTTTCTTTTCCCTTTCCCCTCTTGTGAAATCAAACACAAGATAAATTAATGTCTTAGATATTGCATACATTAAGTTCTCAGATTTTATGTACATTGATCAAAATTTTATATTTTAAGATCTATGTGTGTGTAGGAAACATTGTCAGATGTGCCGATGGATGACAGGGCAAGCAACCTTGTTCATCAACGCAAGCTAAAAAATGTCCGGGTTTCCCATAGGGTACTGTCTCATCAAATATGGTTAGAACTATTTATCTCCTCTCCCCCCTCTCTCTCTCTCTCTCTCAATTCTAGAATTTTTTGTCCACATTCCTTTGAATCCTTCATGTTCTTTCATATGTGCAGATTGGCAACCCCATGGACTATAATGTCTTAAAGGAAACCATAACTAATATCCAGAAAAATTTCAAGAATGGTGAAGATATTCCCTTGTCGATTGTTGTAATATCTGATAGAGAGTGGCTACTTGGAGGTAATAGAACATAATATTTCTATTGGCTTTAGATGGCATGTCACTAACTATTCTTTCTTCAGATCCATCTAGGGCAGACAAGCATTCAGCATATGCCCTTCTTCTTGCTGAAAATATTTGCAACAGACTTGGAGTGAAGGTGAGTATAACTCAGAGCAAATGATCCTCAAGGATATTAACGTTTATTACAAATTGCATGTGATCTTTTTTTTTACTTGTAAGTTGTAAGTAACACGAGTATAGAAACTTCCTTTTTCTTTGTCTGGGTAATCTGCATAATAGAATGTCGGATAATGGGAAAATTTCCATTTACTGACGTTAGATATATTTTGCGTATGATATTATGAACCGATGATTCTAATTGGATGGATGGTTGACATTGCATTGCTTGACGGATCCAATTCTGTGGCATGGTGAAACATATAAAACATTCTATTATTTATCTAAACCTAATAGAGAGGTGGGTTATAACCCATTTGGAACTAAAGAAACAAATTATTATCATGCCAAAATATTGCACGTAATTAAATAGATTATTTATGGCAATTTGGTTGAAATCATTGGACATTTTTGGGAACTTTTAGTCTATGCGCTTTTCTATCATGGAACTTTTGGGGTGTCGGTTGGTTATATGTGGCATGGAATACCCATAGTTTGTTGAGATATTTTTCCCATTAGTCTTTTACTTAGAAAATATGAAGAAGAAGAACTCCGAAAATATGAGGAAGAAGGAATATATTTCTGTTATATTCAAAACTTCTTATCTTACAAGACCAAATGACACTCCTTATATAGGAGATATTACAAACATCATCATAACCCATTATATGCCACTTACATATTATATATTACCACAATCTACCACTATCATATTATATACATGCCACTATCTACCACCAACACCACTATCATATTATATACATGCCACTATCTACCACCAACACCACTATCATATTATATACATGCCACTATCTACCACCAACACCACTATCATATTATATACATGCCACTATTGTTTTGTTACTCTCTCCAAACTCAAGTTGGTTAGTTTCTATCCTTCTTGAGTTTGCGGGGGCTGTTAGAATTTACCATCACCTACCACCACTACCACCTCACCTACTCCACTAAATCTAACCCACTACACCACTATCACCATCCACTACACACCATCCACTACACCTACATCTATATAAGGAACCATTTGTAATATACAACAAAAATTAATCAATAATACATCAATATTTTACAATCAGAACTAATACAAATAGTGTCACGTAGTATCATCGTTGCACCCAATATCTACTAAACAATTTAAATACTAAAACCTTGAAGGAAACCCTAAAATTAGAAACTCTTATCCAAAGTATTTACTAAAACAAAAGTTGTGATAGACAGTACTTTGTGTGGCATAATTTACAATATTTGTATTTGGCTTTGCATTGTTGTTTGATTAGACAATTGCTGGTTCCAATATATGATTTGCCAGATGAGAACCCATCTTAGAAATACTGACTCATTGGTGACATGCTTTATCTTGGGTGATGGTAAAGGTTACGATGGCCGGCTCAAGATTGGTGTAATATCTGGGCATTTCAGAGACCACAGTTGTGCACTATGACATTGCTTGCATTAATTCAGAGTCCAGGGTTTCTGCTTCTGTAGTGAATGCGCGAGTCAGTCCACCGTCACTGTTCTTTTAGACAGCATTAAAGCGAGCCAGCTTTACCGGGTGGAAGCGACTGATCTTCGGATCGGACCGGACCCACCTTCCAAGAAGGAGCTCAAGGATTGGGCCGGTACTGAATGGCGTGTGGTCATGGTCATGTGTTCCATTGCTGCCTTCTTTGCTATGCTGCAGTTCTCTTTCAAAACTGGGATTGCAGGGACCAAACTCAGCTCTGATGTCCTGTGGGGGGGGGGAAGCTTCTTTTGAGTAGGGTTTCTTTGTCTCTTGCTTTCTTTTGTTTGCTTACCAACAAAGGAATTGGACGCAGAATACAAATTACAGGTTATTAGAGGGGGGGGGGCTTCCTTTCAGTAGGTTCTTTGATTCTTGCATTTCTTTCTGTTCTGCTACCAACCAAAGAATTGGACGCAGAATACAAAGACAGGGTTTATTAGTGGGTTAACTTTTAAAAAATTATATTTATTGTGTTCGATTTTGTGATTAATTTTGAGATTATCTAAATAAGTATATTTTTTTAATTTTTACAAGAGTGTAAAAAATAAAGAAGTGAGTTGATCTAAAATAAATGTAATTATTTAAATAGAAAAACACTTATGAGTAGTGCCAAACAAACTGATTTGAATTTATATAGATAATATATATATATTGAAAATACCATTTACAAGTTGGTTTGTTTAATTAGCTTTAAATGTTGTGACAGAACAATTGTAGGCCTTGATTATATTGTGCCTTGGGTTGGGTGTGATTGGCCCCATGGGTTATTAGAATCAAAGTTATTGAAGTTTTGGATGCTTTCGTAATCCACTAATGTACTTTAGGATCTGATTTGGTAACGTACGTTTTTCAGCTATTATATTGGTTACAAAAATTATTTATAAACTCGTTTTTGTTTATTTTTAGAAAAACATAAACTTGACAAACGCGTTTGGTAATTGACAAAATGTGAAAAAAAAATTTAAAATTTAAAAGAGTGGAGAAATGGTAATTGGTGGCAAGTGGCGGCGGAGCGGTGGTGGAAGTGTGATAGTGGGTGGGGTGGCGGGTGGTGATGGTGGGCGGCGTGGTGATGGTGGTGGGGTAGCGAAGTGGGTGGTGGTGTGGTGGCGGCGGCGGGGGGGATGCGGGTGTGTGGATGGCGGATTGCGGTGCATTCAGGTTTAGCGGGGGTGGGTTGGGCGCGACATTTATGGCGGGTGGGCGGGTGGCGGTGGTGAGTGGATGGTAGGTGGGGGTGGCGGATGATGGGTGGTAGTGGGTTGGTGCGGTGGGTTGTGTTGTGGCCGCGTGTGCCACTCGGTGGCTAGAGCGCGGATACAGGTCTCAATGGATTGCTGATGATACGGGGTAGCCATTGAAAGCGGGTTGATGAATGGTGGGTGGGTGGGTGCGGTGCGGTGGCGCGGTGGTGCGTCTGGGTAGCGAGGTGAATGGTGGTGTGGTAGTGGGTGGTGGAAGCAGGGTGGGTGCGAATGGCAGGTGGTGGTGGCCTCGGTCTGCACGGGGGTAGGTGCGAGTGTGAGGTTGGTGTAGTGGGTTTGGTGTGGGTGCAGTTGACGGGTCGCGGAAAGTGATAGCGAGTGGGTGGTTGGTGGTACAGGTGGGACCGGACCACGAGTGACTGGAGGTAGCGGGGGGTGAGGTGATTGGGTGTTGTGGGTGTGCGGTGTGCGGTGAGTGGCAGGTGGCTAGTAGTGGTTGGTGGTGATGTACGGTGGAGTAAGTGGGTAGCTAGCTTGGTGTGGTGTGTCGGCCGGTGATAGCATCATGGGTGGTGGATGGTGGAGGTTGTGAGAGGTGGTGGTGATAGGGTGGCAGGTGGTAGTGAGTGGTTCAAGGGTGGCTGGTGGAGTAGGAGTGGGGTGGCGGGGTGTGGCGCTGGTGGTGGTGACGAGTGGTAGTGGTGGTGGTGTGGGTGCACGGGTTTGTGGGGGTGAGTGGTGGTGGGCAGGATGGTGGTGGAGGGGGGTGGAGGTGGCTGAAGACGGCGGTGGAAAATGGTGCATGGTGGGGACTAGTGGTGGTTGGCAAAAAAAAAACGGTGAAAACGGAAACACAAATATTTTTTTGAGTTTACATTTTTTGGCCAAATTTATAAACTGAGACCAGCTGATTTATAAATCAAAAATTTACAAACAAGTTTTATTTGAATTTTTTAATTTTTGTAAATATTAAATAAGAAAACTGAAAGCGTAAGTGTTACCAAACGACCCTTTCTTCTAAATTTTCCGTTTATAGAACAAAAAATTCTGATTAATAAATAATATAATTGAAAAGAATTAAATTTAATTTTAAAATTGTCTGGCATGTTTCCTAACAATTCGCGTTCTGTCTTAATGTTGGGTTAGTTATGTCAATTCTAGATAAAAATTTGAGAGGCTTAGCTCGATTCTGCAACAACATGATCACAACATGATCACGTGGTGCCTCATGTCTCTGCTGATTAGTTTTTCTGGTGAAGATAGATTCATGTTGGTTATGAAAGAACACAGAAGAAAATAATGATTTGTGATTTGATATTTGACATGTGTTATGCTGTATCTATGAATACTAATAATTTTTTTTTTAAACCAATTTGGTGTGTACAAACAATTCAATGCCATTGAATAATTTTTTTTTAAAAAAAATTTGATGTGACAAACACAATCGACGAAAGAATTATGAAATGAAAATATAGGATGAGCCCAACCCAATGATATTTCTGTTGAGATCTAAAAAGTAGAGTTCACTCAAAAGTATATTGCAAGAAATAAATGAACATTACGAAATTAAAAGAGGAAACGTTACCAATAAGTCTCATCTATACAAAGTCTTAAGATCTATCTAATCCCCTCCAAATTAAAACACTTTTCACTAAATTTAGTGCCTATACATTTAATTGTTGTATCAAAAAAATCTTAATTATTAATTATATTTAATTATAGACACTGTACATCTTACTACATGTCGGACGTTCCTCAAAACGGTCACCGAAATTCGCGGAATGTTCAGCATCACCGGGAAGTCGCCGGATTTCGCCGGGAAGTCGCAGAGTATCAGCTGAAAGTTCATCCGGAGTATTTAAGACGTTAATGGAAGCTCTCCGGAATGATTTCAGAACGTTCACTGGACGTTTATAAACATCACTGGAGGATCACCAGAATGTTAAAATATTGTCGGGAAAAAAGAGAGAAAAATGGAGAAATTGAGCAAAAAAAATTGGGATAAGCAAAATGTGCGTAATATTGATAAACTAAAAGAAAAAAAGAAAACGACAAAAAACAGCAATAACGAGAAAAAAATTATATATTTTTAATTTTTGTAAGGTTTAAAGCAAATAATCTTCAATAATTGAATCAAACTGGAAAGTAAGTTTTGAAACTGTAAAATGTTTATCAGTTTCAAAGGCAAAAACTCTATTAAGCAATTTACAGTTCTAAAAAATGTTTATGACGAACGTAAAAATTTTACAGTTCTATACCATGTTACATAGTCCCAGCACTAAAAAAATTTGAAAACTATAAATTTTACAGTTACATCACCGATGCCTCCAACGG